TTATGCTTTGGCTCTCTTCCACTCTAACCTCTTTTTTTTTTCCTTCCCCTCCCCCATGGGTTTCTGTTAATTTTCTCAGGATCCACATAAGAGTGAAAACATATGGTAACTGTCTTTCTCTGTATGGCTTATTTCACTTAGCATAACACTCTCCAGTTCCATCCACGTTGCTACAAAGGGCCATATTTCATTCTTTCTCATTGTCACGTAGTACTCCATTGTGTATATAAACCACAATTTCTTTATCCATTCATCAGTTGATGGACATTTAGGCTCTTTCCATAATTTGGCTATTGTTGAGAGTGCTGCTTTGCAGTTTTAATTTTTAATACTTCTTCTTTGAGAAATAATAGAGAAGGAATTTACTCAAGATTCAAATAAAATTGTGAGATGTTCATTTTTCTAATATATTTCCTTTATTTTCTTGTTAATAAACTCCCGTTACATTCATTAAGGCTCAATTGAATTACTGAAAATGATATTATTTAAAATGATGATGGAGATGTTGAAAGCTAAAAGATCTACATCCTCCTGTCTAGTCGGGAGATATATGCACATAAATAATTAGAGTAATGCAATAAATGAAGATATTACCAAGTAAGTCCTGATCTGGAGAGAAAGAACCCTTTAACTCTGCCTAGGGAGGTCGGCGATGGCTTCCCAAAGGAGATGACATTTGAGCTAAGTTTTAGAAAAGACAAGAGATAGTCAGATGAGAATAGTAAGGGGGTAATGGTAGGGGTAAAAGCCACAGCATCAAGAAATGTGTGCTACTTTTACGGCAATTCACTGAAATGTTGAACAGATTAACATTTCTGTATCAATGTTCTCATTTGCAGACTAAGATTGTACCTACCTGCCAATCTCAAATGGATGTTATGAGGGTAACAACTGTTATGAGGGTAAATGTGTGGTTACATAAAAAATTGGAGAGCACCAACGTACATAAGATGGAGACCTTGTAGGGTCAGTGGAATTTTGATGGGTAGGGAAAGGGGTTTAAGACATACCATCTTACCATATAAGATGGTAAGAATCGGGTAAGCATGACTCCAAGGAGAAAAGTTGGTTAGGTGAGGGAAAATCGATCCTTTTGGCAAGTAAGGAGGATATCAAGTTAAAGTTCAAACACTAATCAATCAGGCACAAGTATAGAAGTCTAGTTTAGCAGCAGAAAAAGCTGGTTGTCTTAATATGGCTCAATATTTTTTTGTTGGAAGAGAAAGGAAGCAAATCTGGAGTTATAAAAGTGATTCAGAGTCCAAACGGGGGTAAGCTTCTTAATGTTCATTGTATCTCCAATTCCATGCCTTTAAATCATGCAAGGCTATTTATCATATGTGGCCCTCAAACAATATGCAAATAGGTTAAGCACAGATACATAATTTAGTAGGGTTAAAAAAATGAAAAAGGGAATGTGATAAATTGTAATTCAAGGAAAAGAGAAAGACACAAAGAATCTTCTATAGTGTGATATTGAATCAATCAGGATGTCTTAACGGAAACCTAGATTCAAACTGATTTAAATAATAAGGAAATGTATCATATATAACAAAGGAGGACAGGCATCAGAACTGGTTGATCATGAATATAAGCAGTAGCTCAAGAATATCATGGGGATTCCAGAGTCCTTCTAACTCTCCACTCTCTTGGCCTAGGTGTGTTGGGTTTGTCTTAAGGGTAGCTCCTCTCTTTCATAGCAAGATAGCTACAGCAGTTTCAAGGGGAATAGAATTTCCATGGCTGGCTAGGACTAATCATGTGGGGTAGAACATGTGCTGGGGAATAAAACTTAAAGAAACTTACACTGCTATCATCATCTGATTGCTCAGGACAGAGTTGGAAACATGGCAGCCAATAGGCCAAATTATCATTGCAGATGTTTTGTTTGACTAGTGTGGTGTTAAAAAAAATTGAATGAGCTGCTCACTTGTGTAAGTCAGAAGATTTTATTTATTTTTAAAAATCATACTTCTATATTATCTTAAAGAATCCAAAAGTCTAGCTAATTGTGCCTGCATTCCACTTATCTAAAGCTGGCTGGAGTACATTAGTTACATCCCCTTTGGACAGAGCATTCCAATTCTAATTTACTGGAGCCTCATCATTCCCTAATATGTAATAACCTGGCCTGCTTTACTCAAGTTACCCACTGAGCCTTTCATTGGGGAAATAATTCCCAAAGATTTTTTTTTTAATTTTTTTTTTCAACGTTTTTTTTATTTATTTTTGGGACAGAGAGAGACAGAGCATGAACGGGGGAGGGGCAGAGAGAGAGGGAGACACAGAATCGGAAACAGGCTCCAGGCTCCGAGCCATCAGCCCAGAGCCCGACGCGGGGCTCGAACTCACGGACCGCGAGATCGTGACCTGGTTGAAGTCGGACGCTTAACCGACTGCGCCACCCAGGCGCCCCAAAGATTTTTAAGAGCTTTGTGGCATTTTTGTAATCATGAACATGTCTCTTACAGGCATTTGTCCAATGGTTCAAAAGAATAGAAGGCAAGAGCCACATCTAGCTGGAGAGTGTGTCTTTGCCAATCCCATTGTACAAATTGAGTGACTTTATTAACTTATAATTTTCATAACCATAAAACTTAGCGTTTGACATCCGTCCTCAATAGAATTGTTACAAAGATAAATAGCTTCTTTACCTTCAAAGGAAGTAAGAATGTATTTTTATTCATATTTTATCAATGAAAGAATTGCTTTCATATTTATGCTTGATAGCCAAGAAACAAATATTTTTTTCTATAAGATTTTCAGTCAAATATTAGTCATTCTTACCTTTGTAAAGCTTCAGTTCAAGGATACTGTCTGTTGGTTACACTCTTGAAGTGTATTTACAAAGTAGCTCTATCACTTCCTAGTTGTATCACCCATCATTGGTTAAACAAAATTAAATAAAGTTTAAAAGGAACCATTAAAAAGTGAAAATTGGGGGTGCCTCGATGGCTCAATAGGTTAAGTGTCTGACTCTGGATTTTGGCTCATGTCACGATCTCACGGTTTGTGAGTTCAGGCCCCGCGTCTGGTTCTGTGCTGGCAGAATGGAGCCTACTTGGATTTCTCTCTCTCTCTCTCCCTCTTTCTGCCCCTCCCCTGCTGGTGCTCTCTCTCTCAAAATAAAACTTTATAAAAAAAGTGAAAATTGGATTTGTAGTATCTTCTACACTTATAATTGTTAGAGAAAAGAAACACCTTTCAACATTATAATAAGGCTTTTCTTTAATTACTAAATATTTCAAACATAGAAAAAGAAAGAGAATATAACAAACACCTGTGCATCAACTACTAAGGTACCATATTTGCTTCAAATTTTAAAAATTATTTTTTAAAAAATCATTCAGGGGCGCCTGGGTGGCGCAGTCGGTTAAGCGTCCGACTTCAGCCAGGTCACGATCTCGCGGTCCGTGAGTTCGAGCCCCGCATCGGGCTCTGGGCTGACGGCTCAGAGCCTGGAGCCTGTTTCCAATTCTGTGTCTCCCTCTCTCTCTGCCCCTCCCCCGTTCATGCTCTGTCTCTCTCTGTCCCAAAAATAAATAAACATTGAAAAAAAAAAATGAAAAAAAAAATCAATCATTACAGATATAGTTGAAGTTATCTGTATACATCTCTTCAATCCCATTTCTCATTATAAACACCCAAAAATAACAGCCACTGCAATGAATTTGATGTTTATTAATCTTATGCATATTTGAAACTCTTAAACCATGTATCCATAAATCTATAAACAATGTATTGTTTTGCATGTCATACAATTTTATAATCATGGTATAATACACATATTCAGCTGACACTTGCCTTTTCTCAATATTATTTTTGAGACTTAACCCACTTTAATACATGATACTGTATTAATTTTAATGTACAGTACTCTGCTATATGCAAATATCACATTATTTTAATTCATTCTCCTACTGATAAACATTTAGGCTGTTTCTACAGAGACTTTTTTTTAAGTTTATTTATTTTGAAAGAGAGAGAGTGCGCATGAGTGGGAGAGGGGCAGAGAGAGAGGGAGAGAAAGAATCCGAAGCAGGCTCCACACTGTCAGTGCAGGTACTGATGTGGGGCTCGAACTCACCAACTGTGAGATCATGACCTGAGCTGAAATCAAGAGTCGGATGCTTAAACGACTGAGCCACCCAGGCACCCTACAGAGATTTTTTTTAAATACATCAGTTTGTTGTACTCTTGGGGGTACATATGAATGAAGCTGTGCCTCAGAACATACCACATAGTATTGTTACTGTGAGAAGCAGCTCAATCATGAATCAAACTTTCTTTTCTGGAGTTGCGTTGCTTCTTGTGACATAATTGGACAGAGGGAATCACATACTAACTATAAATGTCAGATGCTTAAAAAGTATAGACAGATTTGAAGGAATTCATGCTATACAGAGGATAAATACTGATTCCTCTTTGCCCCAGGACATCAAAATACATTACTGTGGATGATGACTGTTTTTAAAAATGTCTGAATTTTGAATTTAATTCCATAATTTCAGTGAAGTTCAGTAATTGGTTTCTGGATTAGTAATATGACTTTACCATTGGGTGAGCATAAAAATCCAGGCTCATTTTTCTTTTTTGGAGCTTAGAAAAATGTGACAAATTTCAGATACTGAAGCAGCATTAGGTTTCATAGCATAAAACCAATATAGCATAATGGATATGAAGCTCACACTTTAAACCACTAATTTTCCCTAATTAAATCCAAATATAAATGACATATTAAAATATCACTCAATATTTTCTACCTGAACTTTGGTTTTGATTGTCCCTGAAAGAGAATGGCTATTCTGACTGTCCCCTCAGTGATAGTCCGTTTCAACTGCTCTGGAGGTTAATGCCTATCTTTTAGAGGTCTCAAATTCTCTCTGTAGTCCATATTTAGTCTCATGGCGGCCTAGTCATCTTCATTGAAGTTAGATGATATACCAGTCAACCTAACTTAAGTATTGTATAGTAATAATTCCTAAATTGAAATTACTTACAGGAAGGATTCTTTCTCTTCATATTCTTTGTCAATCACAGTCATCTTCAAGTTTGTTCCATTATTCTGGGACCCAGGTGAAAGGGGCATCCCATCTTTGGGACATGCCATTCTTGTCATACAAGGAAAAGAGAGATGTCAGAACTATGTAGCAAACATCACTTCCTTTAATATTTCACTGAACAAATCAAGGCAAAGGGCCAAGCCTGCTGTTAACAGTAGGGAGGTAAAGTCCTCCCATTAGAAGGGACATAAATATTTGGGAACAGTAATTCAATTTACCTAGAGGTTGTTTTCATTCTCAAGAAGGTATCCTTTTGATTGACTTTTGCAATGTTTATAAAATCTTTTTTTTTTTTTTTTTTTAGGTTTTCCTAATTATACAAGCAAGACTGTCTTATCTCTGACATGGGGTTTAGTCCAATTTAATATTTTCTATCACACTACAAAAAATAAGAGTTAAAATTACTTTCAAAAATAAGTAAATATCTAGAGAACCCATGCATAAAATTGTGATCTAAGTGTAACCAATATTAACTTATAAGCTGATATAATTTTCCTCTGAATGAAGGAAAGTAACTGATTACCACCCCACTCCAGTTCCAGCCATCAGGGGGCCCACAAAAAGAATTTTATATGGTTGTTATTTAGGATGATACCATATAAGTAGTCTCTTCAGGTCTCATGAAAATTTCACCATTTTTGTGTGATGTCACAAGGAAGAGAGGCTTAACATACATAGGTGGCAAATAATAGATTTTTAGATTTAATTATATATGACATGCACATTCAGGCAATCTTTTCTTTTCAATCTAGTAATTCTTCCTTCTGTATTACTTTTTAAAAGTTATTTGTAAACAGCTGGTACCATGGGCACTGAATCCAGCTTTACTTAATCTTACTGTCTTTGCAGCAGTCCAAAGATACCTTGGAAATTATTGGTTTATTTTCTAAAAATAAAGCAAATGATCTCATTTTGGGGAGCCAGCTTCTTCTTAAATGATATTTTACAATTAGATGGTTTAAAACAACTCTGTTTGGCTTTTTAATAACAAATGTGACAATCATGTGCAACAAAATTTATTCACTTATGGAATAATAATAATAATATTTATAGCTAACACTTACAGAATGCTACCGGCATTGTTCTCAGTGCTATATATATATATATATATATATATATATATATATATATTCATTTAATCCTCACAACCCTGTGAGATAAGATACTAATATTATCCCCATTTTATACATGAGGGATCCATAATAACTTTAATACATATCTAAATTCAACCTTGGAATAGTAAGTCATGTTTGACAGGGTTTATCAGCAAGACTAGGAAGCTGGCCAGTTAAAGCAGGAAACAAACAGAAGAAAGGGAAGTAGTAGCAGAAGCTGTTTAGAGGTTTCCTGAATCTTACTCTATTCTCTTAACAAAATTCAAACAAACAAAATAGTGAGTCAATTCTTTTAAGCTATTAGGCAAAGGAGAATTATTTTCCACTTAGCTTTAGGTCAACAAATAATAACCTTTTGGTTCTGGTGAAAGGCAAAATCTGGAACTTATACATATGTTATATTATGATCTTGAAACATTAGCCTTTTTTAATCTTCAAAAGAACACAGGAACTCTAGTTAGATTGTTCTTCTAGTTAGAACAGAAACAAAATGCATAAATTCCAATTTTTCCTTTGGATGGTTCATATCTGCTTAATGGCTATGGGACTACAACCTCTTGTGGGATAGCTGCACTTATCTACTGGCAAAGAGGAGTCTAAGAGTAGCTCTGACAGTCCAGCCACCTATTAATCTGGAGATTATCTATTTGTAGTTATTTTAGTGGACTGTTGTATGTGTATAAAATGTTTTTATAGGGACAGATTTTGTTTTACATGATGATATAATTTAACAAGTAAATAATTAATCTAATGGAAATAGTAATTAACTCCAATTCATGGTAGCTCAGTTGTATTTGATTAAAGAAACATTAACTGAAGATTAAAAAATATTATATATGATGAAGAAAGGAATCAAATTAAAGTATGAATGACTCAAACTTTAATTCTATTTATAGTACTTTTAATTTGCTGTCTATAACTTTTTCATGGTTTTCACAAAGAAAGGGTTAAATTGCATCAGACTCTAAGTCCTTCTAAATGTTAGGACTAACGTGTCCATTTTTACTAGCTCATGCATGGAAGCAGAAACTCTAGAAAATAATATATTACTAGGTTTGCTTTCCATACTTGTTAAGTATACTATAAAGCATTTAAGACTTTAAAAAATGAAAGAAATTTACAAAGAATTTTCATAGGAAAATTAGAGAAGCTAAGAGAAAAGCTAGGAGGAAAATAAGAACTGGATGTCAATAGCTTGGAAGTGGAGAGAAAGGAAACAGTCAAAACTGATAACCAGTTATATCTAAGAGGTCACACAATATTCAGGTTTATGTCATTGACAAGTCACTGGAAAGGTTAGGCAGGGCTGATATTCGTTACCTCTCCTCCAAAAGTTGATGTTCCTTTTCCTGAATACTGTATATTATTACTTTGACTCTTCAAATTTTAGTGACAGGTAATGTTAAGTAGTAATAAAAGCCCTCTAAATAATTTGCAATTGTCTGAACTTTTTTTTTTAAGGCGATACTTAACAGATTTACACATGATAGCCTTTTCCAGGTTCTTCCGGTTAAAGAGCAGATAGAAAAAATTTAAACATGAGCAAGACTCTGACATGCCAAAGGTCACAATAGCCTGTAGGGTACAGATTTCCTATTAATCTAGTGCAATATTTTTAGATTCATTAGATTACTAATGCACCTAGTTAATGCACCTGACGCACACCCTTCCTGGTTCATAAAAATCATCCCCATTAACTTTTGTGGATCTATGCATTTAAACCTAATTGTTTCAAGAAACAGTCTAAAAACCTTTTGTCGTGAAGTGCATAGGTAGGCTCAGAGAAAAACTCAAGAGTTTATCAGATCCTTGGCTCTTTTCCCACAGACCAAATAGGATAAACAACAGATACTAGGCTGAAACGATTTAGAGAACCGGCACTCAGATGCTTCTATTTTAAAATGATGAAGCAGCTTTTAAAATACAAAAGTATCTACAATTATGCTTTCCAGCAAACTAGTGTCAAGGGAATCCTTGCTGTTCAAAAATATTTTTGAGATACCAGTGTACATTAAAAAAATAATTTTTAAAAAGGAAAGCAGTCGTATTCTGGAATATCTCTCGCTCTTCGCCCTCCCCCGATCTCCAACCTTCCAAATGGCTAAGTCGCATAGCTGAAAGGATTTTGCTCATTTTTTCCAAAACACTTCACATCTGGGGAGTGGCCAACTATGGAAAGTTTCAAGTAAATGTAACATTTGGGAGAGAGACAAGGCTCGTCTGGGGCTGCCTTTCCTGGATCGCGGCCCTCAGAGGTGTCTCCTCACGTCCTCACCGGATAGCCCGGGCCAGCTGCAAGCTTGGACCAGCCAAGTTCCGACGGCTCGGCCAGACGCCAGCTCCGGCCAATCCGACTGGCTCCTGGCCACTCGGCTGCAGGGGCTCTTGCCGGTCAGTCTCCCCGACAGTTCGAGGCCCCAGAGTCCAGGAGCCAATCCGCTTCGTAAGTGATGAGACCCCTGACTCCCCAGTTTCCAACTAGGGCAGCCTCGCGGTTGGCGAAGCGAGAGGGAAGCGGCTACGCTAGAGCCCCTCCTGGCTCCCACGCCTCACACGTCAGTTGGGTTCCTCTCCCCGCCCCCTGCCAATCTCCACCCCGGCTCTCCGCGCACCCTGCGCGGAGAGAAATTTGACTGCTCCAGTCACCAATCAGGAGAGAGGTCGAGAATCTGAGCCAATCGTAGCAGGGGAAGGAGGGAGGACGCGAGCGTCCTCCCGCCCCCGAGAGGGTGAGCGCGGAATGTCTCTGGCCCTCCCCTGCGCTTCAGCCTCAGTGCGGAATCCTCGGCGGCGTGAGGTGAAGCGGCGGCGGGCAGCCTCTTGAGCAGCAGCGGAGGCTGCGGGAACCGGAGTCCAAACCACACCCACGTCGCTGCTCCTATCCACTTCTGCCCTCTCGGTGTCCCACCGGAGACTGCGTTCCCAGAGGAGAGCGGCCGCCCACGCCCCGAGCATCCTCCCTAGTCTAGCGGGCGCTGACAGACCCGGCGGCATGATGCGACTGCGAGGCTCGGCGATGCTGCGGGACCTGCTCCTGCGGCCTCCCGCCGCTTCCTGCGCAGCTCTGAGGCGGGCACAGCCCCTCGTCACACTGTGCCGGCGTCCCCGAGGCGGGGGACAGGGGGCCGCGGGCGCAGCGGCCGCCGCGCGGCTTTACCCGTGGTGGGGCGGGGGCGGCCGGCCGGCGGGGCCCCTCGCGCGGGGACTGTCTAGCTCCCCTTCGGAGATCCTGCAGGAGCTGGGCAAGGGGGGCACGCAGCAGCAGCAGTCTGGGGCGTCGCCGCCCGCGGCCCCATCGGCTCCCAGCCCCAAGGACGGCCCCGGGGAGACGGATGCGTTCGGCAACAGTGAGGGCAAGGAGCTGGTGGCCTCGGGCGAAAAGTGAGTGTCTCCGCTAGGCGGAAGAGGCCTCCCCCGCGTGGGGCCCGGAATCGGGCCCGGGAGGGGCCTGCGGTGGGGCGGGATGGGAGCGGAGGTTCGAGAAAGAGAAAGAAAGAGATGCCGGGCGGCCTGCGCAGTCTGCGCCATGTGATTAGGTCCGGCCCCGCCCGCGCCTTCCCCGTCGGCGCCCCTCCGCTCGGCCCCCACTTCCCTTCCCCGCCCCTGGCGCGGGCCGCCCGGGAGGAGCCGCGGAGGGGCCGGAGCGGCCGGCCTGGGCCATTCCGCCCCCCCCTCCCCCCCGGGCCCGTCCTTTGGGGCTGCGGCTGCCTGGCCCGCGCCGCGTGCTCTGCTCCCCGGCTCCCGGCTGCAGCTCCTGGCCGCCTGCCCAGCTCTCCGTGGGTGATGCCACACGAACATCTCCACCGAGTGACATTTAGGAGTCGGGTGTTTAGCATACACTGCGCCTTCCTGACTCGTCATTTTTCAGGCTCAGGTTTCTTTCTCTCTAAGCCTGCCCTCCTTCGATCGCTCTGCCACCATCTCTTTAGAAGCCTAACGTGGCAGAATATTCTTAATATTTCTGGAGTGGCTTTCAGGCGTGGTGTCGAGCCATCTGGGGCACCGGAAATAATGTTTTCGAAAGGAGATTAAGGAGGAAGAGAGTCATGTGGCCGAGAAGGGGCACGCAGTACAAGACTACCTGTTTGCACTGGGGACCAGCTTTGGCCTGTCTGATGTCTTCCATGAGATGGGCGAATTTTTAAAATAACCAAAATAGCCAAGATGAAATGTGGCTGGTAAAACACTAGGAAAAATCCGAGTTATGTAGTTTTTGTGATTTAAATACTGATAGAATGTTAAGTCATCTATGCCACACAGCACTTTTGACTTAAAACGAAATTGGTTTTTCTTAACAAATGGGAAGCAATTTCTTGGTTATTTTGTATAAATATAAATGGACCCCAACTTTGTTTTCCGAATATGGGTAAAAATATAACCTGTATGCTTTCTTTATACTCTACCGTTTTGCTGACATTGTACTGACATTATGTGACCCGTTTTGCCACCCTGTCACTCACATTACTGTCTTCAGCTTCACATCACCTTAAGTCAAACTGAAAGTGTGGTGTGATTTTTATACTGAATCACAGGTCTGCTTAATGTTTCCTGTAATTGAAGTTGGCACCTTCCTAAAACATTCCAAGCTTAAGTTTTCCCAGACTGAAAAATGTTATTTTAATGATGGGCAAAATTTGTGGTATTCTGTGATAATGGTTTTGTGTCACAAAGTCTTAGGAGCATATAGGTAGGTCATTTAACATCTTTAGTTAGATGATTTAAATCCCTTCAAGGTCTGAAAAGCTAGACTTTTGTTAAATTTCTATCTCTCATGTTTTTTAGGGTCTAGAATGTGTATGCTTAATCTCATCTGGTACTCACTTGTACCTTATCATCTGGTTTACCAGGCATGAAACCAGTTTAAATACCTGAGCCCAGGGTTACAGAATTACAAAGTGCAGTTGCTAGCATTTAAAAGTTGTCCTTGAAGGCTATGGGATGGGAATTGTTTTCTATTGAAAATGTCTTCCAGTTTGTGTCTTTTCAGTGGCACTA